CTCTGCTGGCTGTTGAATAGGATCACACGTCAGACACTTCCCAAGTGTCTAGGACTGTGTGATGTATCAGCAAATAATGCGTGCAGATCCCAGTAAGGTGGCCTTCTGCAGCTGGCAGATGGTAATTTTGTCAGTGCCGATTGTGTTTGAGTGCAGGCCAAGGTCTTTAGGCACTGCACCCAAGGTACCGATCACCGGTGGAACCACCTTTACTGGTTTGTGCCAGAGTCTTTGCAGTTCCATTTTTAAGTCCTCATATCGTGTCAGCTTTTCTAGTTGTTTCTCTGCAATCCTGCTGTCACCTGGGATTGCAACATCAACAATCCATACTTTCTTTTTTAACACGTAGAATCAAAGAGTTGGAAGAGACCTCATGGGCCCATCCAGTCCAACCCCCTGCCAAGAAGCAGGAATATTGCATTCAAAGCACCCCTGACAGATGGCCATCCAGCCTCTGTTTAAAAGCTTCCAAAGAAGGAGTCACCACCGTTCAGCAGAGAGTTCCACTGCTGAACAGCTCTCACAGTCAGGAAGTTCTTCCTAATGTTCAGATGGAATCTCCTTTCTTGTAGTTTGAAGACTAGTCCTGTGTCCTAGTCTCCAGGGAAGCAGAAAACAAGCTTGCTCCCTCCTCCCTGTGACGATTGTGAGGTCAGGAGTGTTGTGCTCCAAAGCTCTATCTGTCTGAATCTGAAAGTCTCAGAGGACTTATTATTATTATAATTATATTATTATTGTTATATGATTTATATTATATAGCACCGGGATTGTGACGCAGCTGGCTGAATGTCAGCTGCATTAAGATCACTCTGACCAAAAAGTCATGATTTCGAAGCCAGCCCGGGTTGGAGTGGGTTTCCAACCAATTGTGTGTAGCCTGTTGTCGACCTTTGCAACCCGAAAGACAGTTGCATCTGTCAAGTAGGAAAATAAGATACCACCTTAAAGTGTGGGGAGGCTAAATTAACTGATTTATGACGCCATAAAGAAGACTCCAGCAAAGCATTCCAGCGGGGAAGCATGTGAGGAATGCGGAAGTGCTTCATCAGCGTTGCAGATGGACGATGAAAGCGATAGCTTCCCTGGCGGCCAGAAAAAGTTAAATAGCCTCTGTGTATGTCTGTATATGTTTATATGTCAAAAATTGGCATTGAATGTTTGCCATATATGTGTACACTGTAATCTGCCCTGAGTCCCCTGCGGGGTGAGAAGGGTGGAATATAAAAGCTGTAAATAATAATAATAATAATAATAATAATAATAATAATAATAATACCTCTTTTTTACTGCATCACTTCATACCCCATTCATATGCTCACCAGTGTGCACTGTTCAATTAACACACAAACCCATATGCAAGAAAAGAGCAGCACACCGTCACATATACACCAGCACACTCTATATGGTCCTGAGCCAAGCTGTCAAATACAACCACTGCAGTCTTGGAAAAGGAACACGACAGAATACCCCCCACCATGTTAGACACTGTATTAAAGATAGCTTACCTGCATGATCTTAAACATTCTATCACACACTTTAGGACACTAGTGTGTGTGTGTGACTTATCTTATAACCACTGACATGAGAACTGATTATATTGAAAATATGAAATGCATGAAAAGAGAGGATGCTCAATTGGTTTCAGTCATTCAGCAAAAACGTCCTTGCAGCGGAACATCACATGGGTGCTCTAAGCTGTGGGCTGTGTCCACCTGACTATCCCAATTGCAGCAGACCCACAGAATCAACCGGACGACCTTTCAACATTAAGTATCACCATTCCATTGGGATAACAAAGCACTATATGGGAGTCTATTCTTAACAGGCATGAGGTAAGGGGTTCTGAAGAGTTGCCTTCCCTCCACTACAGGGCTGTTCCTTAGGGGGCATTCCCAGGATTTCCCCTCTGGTGGTTTCTGTCTGGGGAGGGGTGGGTTAATGGGACCTTGTCAAGGGAAAGAGGCATTTCCCCCATGGAAAGTTGCTGTTGCACTAGATTTGGAGTGTACCATTCTCAGGCTGGATCTACATGCCAAATAATGCAGTTAGGGTTGCATTACATACATATAGATCAGTGGTGCTCCACCTTCCTAATGCCGCAACCCTTTAATACAGTTCCTCATGTTGTGATGGCCCCCAGCCATAAAATTATTTTGGTTGCTACTTCATAACTGTAATTTTGCTATTGTTATGAATCGCAATGTAAATACCTGATATGCAAGGTGTATTTTCATTCAAATTTGGCCCAAATTTGAATTCTGGTGGGGTTGGGGGGGGGTTGATTTTGTCATTTGGGAGTTGTAGTTGCTGGGATTTATAGTTCGCCTACAATCAGTGAGCATTCTTAACTTCAGTGATAAAAGTGAACCAATCTTGGCACACAGAACTCCCATGACCAAGAGAAAATACTGGCAGGGTTTGGTGGGCATTGGCCTTGAGTTTTGGAGTTGTAGTTCACCTACATCCAGAGAGCACTGTGGACTCAAACAATGATAGATCTGGACCAGAGGCGGTCCTAGGTAATTTACAACGGTAAGCAAATAGTATTTTGGTGCCCCCCCCCCCCAACCAATCATTCATATATATTTTCTGTTTGTCATGGAAGTTCTGTGTGCCATATTGGGTTCAATTCCATCATTGGTGGAGTTCAGAATGCTCTTTGATTGTAGGTGAACTATACATCCCATTAACTACAACTCGCATATGTCAAGGTCTATATTCCCCCAAGAGCGCCTCAAAAGGGCCCCTGGGCAAAATCAACTATACTGCGAATGCTTACTTTGCGTAATGGGTTGAGCCGCCCCTGATCTGGACCGAAGTTGACACAAATACTCAATATGCCCAGATGTGAATACTGGTGGAGTTTGGGGAAAATAGACCTTGACATTTGGGAGTTGTAGTTGCTGGGATTTAGTTCCCCTACAATCAGTGAGCATTCCGAACTTCACCAATGTGTTTTTTTTGTCGTGTCAGGAGTGACTTGAGAAACTGCAAGTTACTTCTGGTGTGAGAGAATTAGTTGTCTGCAAGGACGTTGCCCAGGGGACACCCGGATGTTTTGATGTTTTATCATCCTTGTGGGAGGCTTCTCTCATGTCCCTGCATGAGGAGCTGGAGCTGATAGAGGGAGCTCATCCGCGCTCTCCCCGGATTCGAACCTGTGACCTATCGGCAGGGGCGGCTCAACCCATTACGCAAAGTAAGCATTTGCAGTATAGTTGATTTTGCCCAGGGGCGCTCTTGAGGTGCTCTTGGGGGAAAATAGACCTTGACATATGCGAGTTGTAGTTACTGGGATGTATAGTTCACCTAAAATCAAAGAGCATTCTGAACTCCACCAATGATGGAATTGAACGAAATACGGCACACAGAACTCCCACGACCAACAGAATATAGATATTAGTGACTAGCTGTCCCCTGCCACGTGCTGCTGTGGCCCAGTCTGTTGATCTGGAAAATAAAGTAATGAGAAAGTGTTGGTTTCTAATATATGTAATTTCTTTATGCTTGTGGATAAACAGTATTTCTTGCTGTTTCTTTGTCAGTGTTGATGTGGAGAGTGTCTGGTTTGCCTACTCTGGAACATGCAAGATATAACTGTCCTTCTTTAGGGGTCCCTTTCAAATCTATGATACTGTATCTCTCTGTGTGTGAATCATATCTATCTATATCTATGGCTGGATGGCTCTTTCATAGAATCATAGAATCAAAGAGTTGGAAGAGACCTCATGGGCCATCTAGTCCAACCCCCTGCCAAGAAGCAGGAATATGCTTTGTCAGAAGGGCTTTCATTATGTTTTCTTGCCCTAGTGAAGGGAATTGGATTGGCCTTAAGTATTTTCTGTTGGTCATGGGGGTTCTGTGTGGGAAGTTTGGCCCAATTCTGTCGTTGGTGGGTTTTCAGAACGCTGTTTGATTGTAGGTGAACTATAAATCCCAATAACTACAACTCCCAAATGTCAAGGTCTATTTTCCCCAAACTCCACCAGTATTCACATCTGGGCATATTGAGTGCTTGTGCCAACTTCGGTCCAGATCCATCATTGTTTGAGTCCACAGTGCTTTATGGATGTCGGTGAACTACAACTCCCAAACTCAAGGTCAATGCCCACCAAACCCTTCCAGTATTTTCTGTTGCTCATGGGAGTTCTGTGTGCCAAGTTTGGTTCAATTCCATCGTTGATGGAGTTCAGAATGCTCTTTGATTGTAGGTGAACTATAAATCCCAGCAACTACAACTCCCAAATGACAAAATCATAATTTTTTGAGTGATGGTCACTCCTTATATAGTGAGACATTTTGTTGCCAAATTTGGTGTGATTTCGTTCATTGGTTCTTTTGTTTTTAAGGAACTAATTATGCACAGAGCATTTTTATATATATAGATGGGAAATGTATGTGACCAGAAGGCTTAGTGTGGGGGGGGGGGGGCAAAATACTTACAGTTGAAAATTACAGTTGAAAATGTGCTTACAGTTGAAAATTGCTTACAGTTGAAAATTACCTAGGACCGTCTCTGTTGCCGGCACAGGGGTTTAACCCACTGCGCCACTGGGGGCTCCTAACTGGGACTTATAGTTCACCTACAATTACAGCAGGAGGAGGGCTTTGGGGCGCGGGGGGGGGGGGGGAGAGATCCACTGTCTGTTTCCAAAAAGGAAGAGAAGGACAAGTGGAGAGATAGTCAGCCTTCAGTACCAAAGGCGTTCCTAAAACCATCAGGAATATGTGGTGGTCTTAGGCGACCCCTCTGAAACCTCCCCAGGGGTCCTGCCTGATGGTCAGTACTATTGAGCAGTTCCTTGGCAGTGTGAAGGTTGTGGAGCACTACTAGAAGGGGGCAACCCCAAAAGGGAAGCGGCACTGTCATCGCTATGCACTCCGCAGGAGGGAGGGCTGAGTCCCTAGCCCAGGGGAGGATGAAGTTGCCCACCCCACTTGCCAAGAGAGGGGCCACCCTGCTCGCCCCCCGAGGCGTGGCGGGACGGGGAGAGACTTACGTCCCCAAGGTCTCCTTGAACTCGAAGATCTGGTTGATGTCCTCGGCGGGCTTCTTCCAGGAGGAGCCATCCTCGCCGTTTTCCTGGGCCATGGCGACCAGGCAGGCAGGAGCAAGAGCAGAGAGAGGCAGGAGCAGCGGCGCCCGCTCGGCTTTTGCTTTCTCTTCGCGGGAGCTTCTTCTTCTTCCTCCTCCTCCTCCTCCTCCTCCTCCTCTAGGCGCTCCCTCCCTCCTCCCTCCTTCGCGCCGAGCAAAGACTTCCTGGTTGCCGATCCGCTCCCTCGCCACCCCCCTCCCCTCTCCCCTCAAAGAGGGCTGCTCTTCCCTTCTCTGCTCCCCCCCTCCCCACCTCCGCCCGCTTTGGTCCTTCCTTTCTCCTTTCTCCTTTCTCCTTTCCCCCACCCTTCTTTGGCGCTCTTGCCTTTCTTCACCAACTCCTTCCTATGCTCAATTCACCCCCCTATACACACACACATACGTGTGTCTGTGTGATGCCTCACAAATATGCGTTGCAGCATTTCTTGCTTTGACACTTTATGCTCTCTTGTGCACCAGTTGCGCCCGTACCTCGGGAAGTCTGATCTGGCCACAGTGGTCCACACTCTTGTTACATCCCGAATAGACTACTGCAACGCTCTCTACGTGGGGTTGCCCTTGAAGACTGTTCGGAAACTTCAACTAGTCCAGCGAGCGGCAGCCAGATTGCTCACAGCGTCATACAGGGAGCATACCACCCCTCTGTTATGTCAGCTCCACTGGCTGCCGATCCAGTTCCGAGCACAATTCAAAGTGCTGGTCTTGACCTACAAAACCCTATATGGCTCCGGCCCAGTGTACCTGTCCGAACGCATCTCCCGCTACGTCCCGCCTCGGAGCTTGAGATCATCTGGGGAGGTCCTGCTCTCGACCCCACCACTCTCACAAGTGAGGTTGGTGGGGACGAGGAGCAGGGCTTTCTCAGTGGTGGCCCCTCGCCTGTGGAACGCACTCCCCGGGGAAATCAGAGCATCACCATCCCTCCTCTCCTTCAGGAGGAGGGTGAAAACTTGGTTATGGGACCAGGCCTTTGGGCAACTAGGCAATTAAAGACTAGCGAATAAGACCAACAGGATTGATGAAGTGGAATGGAAAACTAGAACTATGAGTTAGCGATCGCTGACCTTGTAAGAGAGGAATTGGGTTTGTATTGGTTTTTATTGATTTTATTGATTTTATTGATATAATGCATGAACTAGTGTGATGTAATTGTGTAATTGTCTAATTTTGTGTTTTGATTGTTTTGTACTGCAGGCATCGAATCGTGCCTTGCTTCTGTAAGCCGCCCTGAGTCCCCTTCGGGGTGAGAAGGGCGGGGTAAAAGAACCCCAAATAAATAATAAATAAATAATACCTGCATGACCGCATCTCCATCTACAAACCCACGCGTTCACTTCGGTCATCTGGAGAGGCCCTGCTCGTGATCCCGCCTGCGTCACAAGCGCGCTTGGTGGGGACTTGAGACAGGGCCTTTTCTGTGGTGCCCCCCCCAACTCTGGAACGCCCTCCCAAAAGATCTTAGACAGGCCCCTACACTGGCAGTCTTCAGAAAGAACTTGAAGACCTGGCTGTTCCGATGTGCCTTCTCAGATTAGGAACCTCCAATGTCCTAGAAGCACTTTAGTAGAACTAAGATTACTGCACACTGCACACTGCACCTACTTATAATCCTACATACCTCCTGCCACACCAGCACTTTTAATCTTGTACCCATTACTCTGGCCCGGCCCAGTTTTATAGTGTCTTGATGTATTGTTTATTGTTTGTTGTTTATTCTGCTTAACTGTTTTTAATTTGCTTTAGGTATTGTATTGTTGTATTGTGTTTTCAGGCCTTGGCTGATGTAAGCTGCATCGAGTCCTTTGGGACATGCTAGCGGGGTACAAATAAAGTTATAATAATAATAATAATAATAATAATAATAATAATAATAATAATAATACCCCTCTGTTATGTCAGCTCCACTGGCTGCCGATCCAGTTCCGAGCACAATTCAAAGTGTTGGTTTTGACCTACAAAACCCTATACGGCTCCAGCCCAGCGTACCTGTCCGAACGCATCTCCTTCTACGTCCCGCCTCAGAGTTTAAGATCTTCTGGGGAGGCCCTGCTCTCAGCCCCACCTCTATCACAAGTGAGATTGGAGGGGACAAGGAGCAGGGCCTTCTCAGTGGTTGCCCCTCGCCTGTGGAACTCGCTTCCCGGGGAAATTAGATCATCGACATCCCTCCTCTCTTTTAGAAGGAAACTAAAAACATGGATATCCCAACGCGATTTGCCGCAGGGCCTTCTCTATTTTTGCCCCTGCCTTATGGAATTCCTTGCCTCCCTATTATTTATTTATTTATTTATTGTTTGAACTTATATGCCACCACTCCCCTGGGGCTCGGAGCGGCTTACAAAAACAGGCTAAAATTGAACACAATTTAAAAACAATTTAAAACAATTTAAAAACAGCAATATCAGAGATCAAAGTCCGGTCGAAACAGATATGTCTTACATGCCCTGCAGAAAGCTGTTAAGTCCCGCAAGGCACGGACTTCAGGTGGCAGAGTATTCCAGAGTGATGGTGCTACTGCTGTAAAGGCTCTGCGTCTGGTTGCTGTTAGACGCAAGGTCTTGACACTGGGAATTTCCAAAAGATCTTGGTCCTCAGAACGGAGGGATCTCTGGGGTTGGTAGGCAGTGAGGCTGTCCCTCAGGTACATCGGCCCCAGACCATGCAAGGCCTTAAATATTGACAATTTATTCACACTGTCATTACTTGCAGCAATAGCCGATGTAGTGAAGCAACCAGGTTGGGTGTATGTGTGTTGAATGCTCTCATTAAGGAGGCCAGACTTGGTGGAGGTGGTTGACAGGTGTGGAGCTGCAGGCTATTGAAGGCTGCTCTGCCCCCTGCTGTGCTCTTTGCTTCAGTGTGAGCTAGAAGGCAGGTTTCAACCCCCCGCCCCACAAAATTTTCAACACCCCCTCCTCGAAAATTTCAACCCCTCCCGAAATTTTTTTCTGGCTACGGCCCTGCCCTCTGTTATCATCATCATCATCATCATTTAATTACTTATTAATCGCCCTCCATCCAAGAATGCTCTAGGCGATTTACAGCTAAATTATAAAACATAAAATACATACATACAAAATTAAAAATTAACAGAGATCGAATGCTTTAGTAAAATGCCAGGTCTTAAGTGCGAGAGTAAAAGGTCCTAAGTCACGCATGGCTCTCATGTAGGGCGGCAAGAAATTCCACAAGGCAGGGGCAGAAATAGAAAAGGCCCTGCGTCTGGTCCTTTCCAAGTGCACTTCTCTAGGACCCGGTATAGGGAGTAAGTCACGTCGGGCTGGTCGTTGCGACCTCCGATGATGGGAGAAGGAGAGGCGGTCCCTAAGGTACGATGGACCCTGGCCGTAAAGAGTTTTAACGGTCAGAATTAGCATCTTATACAGGCCACGGTACTCAGTTGGAAGCCAATGTAAATGTTGCAGCACTGGTGTGTTATGTCAGATCCACTGGCTGCCGATCCAGTTCCGAGCACAATTCAAAGTGCTGGTTTTGACCTACAAAACCCTATAAGCATACCTGTCCGAACGCATCTCCTTCTACGTCCCGCCTCGGAGTTTAAGATCTTCTGGGGAGGCCCTGTTCTTGGCCCCACCTCTATCACAAGTGAGATTGGAGGGGACAAGGAGCAGGGCCTTCTCGGTGGTGGCCCCTCGCCTGTGGAACTCGCTTCCCGGGGAAATTAGGTCATTGACATCCCTCCTCTCGTTTGTTGTTCATTCGTTCAGTCGTCTCCGACTCTTCGTGACCTCATGGACCAGCCCACGCCAGAGCTCCCTGTCGGCCATCACCACCCCCAGCTCCTTCAACGTCAGTCCAGTCACTTCAAGGATGCCATCTATCCATCTTGCCCTTGTTCGGCCCCTCTTACTTTTACCTTCCACTTTCCCCAGCATAATTGTCTTCTCTAGGCTTTGCTGTCTCCTCATGATGTGGCCAAAGCACTTCAACTTTGTCCTCTCGTTTAGAAGGAAACTAAAAACGGATATTCCAACACGATTTGCTTTATATGCCTTGGTCCTAGGGAAGTGCACTTGGAAAGCACCACACGCAGGGCCTTGACCCATGTTAATTTGTATGTATGTGTTTTATCCTGTATAATAGGAGCCCCCTGTGGCGCAGTGGGTTAAACCCCTGTGCCGGCAGGACTGAAGACGGACAGGTCACAGATTCGAATCCAGGGAGAGGCGGATGAGCTCCCTCTATCAGCTCCAGCTCCTCATGCGGGGACATGAGAGAAGCCTCCCACAAGGATGATAAAAACATCAAATCATCCAGGCGTCCCCTGGGCAACGTCCTTGCAGACGGCCAATTCTCTCACACCAGGAGCGACTTGCTCCTGACACGACAAAAAAAAATCCTGTATAATTTCTGCTATGTAAATCGCCTGGAGCATCTCGGATGGAGGGCGATTAATAAGTAATTAAAGATGACGACGACGATGATGATGATGATATGGGACCAGGCCTTTGGGTAATCTGGCAGACAGACAAAGGACAATGACGACTAGAATTGGATAGGATTATGACAATGCGGAATGAACTTACGGATTTTGAGGTTGGCGAACGTTGATCATTAGATTGGTTTTTTATTAGTTGTGCTGTATAACTGGATTGTTTTAATTGTTTTTAATTGTTGCTGATATATATTTTATCTTACTATTGTATTGCTGGCATCGAATTGTGCCTTCTGTAAGCCGCCCTGTGTCTCCCTCGGGGGTTGAGAAGGGCGGGGTAGAAATGCGCGAAATAAATAAATAAATAAATAAATAAAATAGACCTGTGGTGCCTCACAAGTATGCATTGCAGCCTTCCTTACGTTGAGACTTTATGCTCAATGCACTCATATTACGTATGGATATCTATATACTAGCTTGGATACCCAGCGTTGCCTCTGTTATTAGAAGAAAATTGGTTTTTTTAATTGCACAAAATACATAAGGTGGTGGGTGAACTACAACTCACTTTGTGCTAGGTTAACCCTCTGAAGGTTAACACACACACGCACCCCATCAGTACTTAAAGCTTGTCATGTTGGGCACATTTCCACATAGAATCATAGAGTTGGAACTTCTAACTGTGCTAAGACTCAAAAGAGACATGCACAAGAAGGGGGAAAAGGGAGAAGTCACCAAAGAAGAATTTTGGTTTCTCATGATGTGTATGATTACCATCTGTTATTTTTG